CTGCTGGTGTTTCGGAGGAGGCAACCGTAATTCCGTGTGGTCGTACGAATGATGTGAGCCATCAGCTTCCTCTGCGACGGGGGACGCTGGGGCTCTGCGGGTGGGCAAAGCAGGGAGTCAGCTCGTTGCTGAGTGCCTTGATACTGTGGCGATCCTCTGGGTCATCCCTGAGGAGAAGCTTGAGTTCATTGCTTCAGTTGTTGAGCATCTTCCCTAGGCGTCTCTGAGCCCTTTAAAAAGGACAGCACTTTTTGAGTTGTTACACTGAAAAACAAATTTATTGAAGGCTGTGGGTTGTTCCTCTTCGATCAGCGATTGCTAGGGTGCATGTGCATGGTAAAATGTAACGCTGGTGAGTTGTTTGTGCTGCCATGGGGTTACACTGTCTGAAACCAGTACATCTTTGCATGGTGCTTATGCAGAGAGTACCTGTGCACGGTGCGTGGTTTCCAGAGTGGCAGCGCACAGCCAGCCTTTATAGTTCAGAATTTGAGACCTGTTCTGCTGTTATCTCAGATAATATAGCAGGTGCCTGTCTTGGAAGTGGCTTAAAGCTTTCCCAGCGAATCCATTTTGGTGGAGTCGGTGGGATTATGTGCAAAACTCCTGCTATTATTGTTAGATACTATGGTTATGTTTTTAAATACATTAGTTGCTTTCTGTATTTCCAAGGTGGAAGTGGAAGCATAAGCAATAATGTTAAATAGCTACCTCTGAAGATCCGCGTTACAAAAATGACCCTAGTGGCAAGGTTCTGATTAGGTCTGCCTACTTTGAAAATTCAAACTCATTTTATGGGTGATTTACAAGGTGAAATAGGACAGAAGATACATAACGTTAGATACATTACTCTTCAGCTGTTATTCACATGAGAAGGCACTATGATTTAGGTACTTGTACTTGTTCCTGAGCTAAGGATAGGCATTTAAACATCTTTTTCATTTAAAAAAAGCTTTAAATTTTCCCATAATTCTGAAAAGATTTTTTTTTAAGTGAGCTGGATGTTCTGTGTTTAAATTAGTAATACTTACTAGCTGTTTGAATGCTTGGATTTTTTTTTTTGCATGTGTGCCTTTATAGAAAAGGATTTTAAACCCAGTTATTTTCTGCTAGATTGTAATTTTGAGTCGTGCTAGGGTATTGCTGAGGCACCTGGTTTACCCAGATACATACGTTGTTTCTGGTTTTCGCAGAGATTGGCTGAGCAGTTGATGGTAGTTGTGACGATCTGTCTGTCTGTAGCTGCAAATGCTTCTGCTTGATTTCTCCTGTGCCTAGAAGTATCCTGGGTGTTGCTATGTTTTTCCTAATTTTTTTTTTCAGTGGAAGAACTCTTTGTTCACTGTTAGTAAGTTATAGCTAGCTGCTTATAAATTTGTCTGTTGTTCCTCAGTTCTGTCTCCCTTGGGCTTAGATTATCAATTTTTTTTTTTCTTCTTACTGCCTCCAAAACTGAAAAAGCATAGTTCATCTAGTTCTGAATTTCATTTGGCCTTTGAGTTGCAAACCTCTGAAGCTGTTGGGAAGGGTGATAATTTCTTATCCTTTTGTCTTTAGCATCAGAGGGGGAAACAAATCCAGTTTAAACGCCTTGAGGCTTTTGTTCGAGATTCATGGCGGAGACACCGAGATGACACCCGGCTGAGGCGCATGGAGCAGAGACCTGGACAGACGGCTGTACCTCAGGAGCACAAACTAGCCTTTGTTGTGCGGATTGTAGAGTAAGACACTTTTGTTGCTCCCTTACCTTTATTAATGCTATTATTTGTAGTTGTCTTATCATTGCTAAGCAATGGAAGGGTGGTCAACCCAGACATGTCTCCTTGCAAGTAATCTGAGACCTTTTGTTGCTGTATTAGAGAAATGTGGTTACTAATAGTAATATTTTTTTTTTCCTGACTTAGTATTAAGGGAGCAAGTAGGAGGGTAAGAAGAGTGATTGAGTTGCTGCGGCTGACAAAAAATTTCACTGGAACATTTGTTAAACTGACTCCTTTATCGCTGAAGATGCTGCGTATTGTGGAACCTTATGTGGCGTGGGGGTAAGTACCAGTCCTGTGACTTGATTGTAGTTTGTATGTAAATACCTTAGCTTTTGGTTCTCCGTCTGGTATCACAAATCCATAGCTGGTAATGGTCAAAACTTCAAAAACTTGTTATTGTCCCTTTTCTCATTGTTCTAAACGTAACCTGGTTACTTTCCCACCTCTGTACAAAGAAGTAGGGTGGGACTTCCCACTGTATCATGTCTCTCCATTACAGAATCTGATTTTTGTTTTTATACAGACACCCTAACCTAAAATCTGTACGAGAGCTCATCCTGAAACGGGGCCAAGCCAAGATTAAGAAGCGGAGGATGCCTCTGACAGACAACATGCTGATAGAGGAACATTTAGGTAAGGAAGAGGATGAGAAAATGAAGTGAATCAAGGAACGAGGAGGATGTGGAGAGTTTGCAGTCTTGACCTAAGAGAGAGAAAAATCTTGCAAGGCTTGTATGTGGAGGACAGGCAATTCTGGCGTAGCGTGAGGAAAGATAATACAGTTGGGCACCTTGCATATGTGTTGTTTGGGGGGGGCTTTTTGTTGTTTTGTTGGGGGGGAGTGTTAATATTTTATTTTTTTCCTGCAGGGGGCTGTGGTATTATTTGCCTGGAAGACCTTATTCATGAAATCTACTCAGCTGGGAAGAATTTCAAAAAAGTCACAAACTTTCTGTGGCCATTCCATCTGTCAGTGGCTCGCCATGCTTCACGTAACAAAGTGGGTTTCCTGAAGGAAATGGGTAAGCCTGGCTGCAGAGGTGAAGCTATCAACCAGCTTATACGTCAGCTGAACTAGTCAGGTGAGGAATGCCTGTTGTGCTACTTCTAAATCTTACCCTTTATCTGGTTTCCTAAGAAAAACTATACTGTTGTCAGAGATGAGGGGGCCTCCTTTGTTTTTGATCTGTCACTCTCCAGAAGTGACCCTCAAGGTTAGGCGAAACTAAGGAAGAGTGTGGGTCCAATGGGATCAGCAAATCCTATTCGACACCTCCATAAAGGCTTGACTTCTGGGAGATTGTGTTAATGTGACTTTTTTTTTTTTTCTTTCTTTCCTTTTCTGCAGGGTCTTTGTGAAAACTTCAGGATTTATAAACTGTTCCTTTTCACGTGGAGTTTTCATGGACATTGTCTCTGTGCAATGATACATCTCTTGCCTGTTGGTGCCTCTATAAAAAGAAAAAATACATGATGATGATGATGGACTTCAGGCTGGTCCTTCTTAAAGAAGATAAATTGGATTTTGTACAAGAAAGAAGTGACGTGAACTTCCTGGAGCATCCTGACTTCTGCATCGCTGTAGAGCAAGGGATTTTTTATACTCATTGCTGCTGGCTCTGTACCACTCACCTCCGATCTTATCTTTGGTATAAAGCAGTGGTTGTCAGTTCCGGATTTAAATTTGTTACAGTTGATTGCAATCACTGCTTTGATCTGGTCCTCCCTAGGGGCAGCGCTTGAAGTTGTGCTCCTTGAAGTGCACCTCCTCCTAGGTGTAAAGGGGTAGTGCAGTCACCTGCTTAAGAATATTGCTGACAGGCAGAAGATGACACTAGGTATTCCTCTGTTACTGCAGTGCAAGCCCTAATAAAGAATAACATAACTTTTTTTTTAAAGTACCTAGATTGTGTTTATTTTAAAAAGCCATGATTTTGTGCTACTGATTGACAAAAGGCTGCCTTTTCAATTCTAATAGACTGGGACTGCTGGTAGGAGTCCAGAAACTTTGAGTACAGTGGCGGAGTATATGTAACCAATATTTTTTAAATAAACTTTTGAAATGACGCTTTATTATAAGAGGAGTTTGTACATAATTCTAGAAGAGTGGGAAAAGTTAAATACTCTGGCTGAAGTGAATTTGGTGAAGGAAATGAACAAAAACATGGAAGAGCCTGAACGTTTTATTAACACAGCTTTAAATCTCTACTTTCTTCCAGTACAAAAAGTGTGCCAGGAATGCAGGAAGAATCTTATGCTATTTAATGAAGAGGAAAGGCACTGTGCTTCATCATTAGGTCACTCTGACTATTTATACTGTTATTTGAAGACTTAAGTGGGGGCAAACTATTGGATGGATTTTTTATTGACTCCAACAGTGGCTTTGAGACTCAGAGGAAACAGCTGAAGTAACAGTGTAGAGGATGCCTTTAAGGTATTAGTTCTATGACAGTTATAAACTGAGATAAAACCATCTAAAATGTGAAGTACAACAGACTCCGAATTAGAGAAATCTACAGTTTCAACCTTTATTCTGTAAAACAAGAATATAAACATAGAAAGTGTTTGACAGACACTAGAGACATACACTGAGTTAGAACACCTCCCTCCCCAGAACTTAGAGTCCAGCAGTCATTAATATACACGGCTTCATACATTTAAGATTTTCCTGATAAACAGCTGCTTTCATTATAAAGAGGTACAAGCAACTTCAGAATACATTTTAGGATTGTTTCTGACAATAAAACAGCCCAGGCTTGTAACATGAAGAACTGACGCGTCAGGAGTGGAGGGTTTGGGGTTTTTTTAGTGCTAGAGACAACTTAAGCCTGCCAATAGAATGCAGTTTATGATAATCTTAATACACTAAATTACAGGATCCCGATGCAATTCTAGTAATTAAGCCTAGATCTAGGCAGTTTTTCTAGTGAATGCAATAGTTTAACACACCACTAGTTTAGCTCATACAGTTAAGTAAGAATTTAACTATTGTTATGAATACTTTATTTAGACCTCTTTAAAAACACCACCAGCTTAGTCTAGCGTTCCACATTATCACAGGCAAACACGTTGCCTTTTTTTCTGTATCATACTTCAGCAAGAGCGACAGTAATGGTGCGTTCATGACTTAGCTGCACTATGAACAGAAACTATACAAGGATATATACAACCCCGCCACATCTTAGGGAACAGAATCCTTTTTGTAAGCCACCATACTGTTTACTTTGTGGATTGTAGTAGTGAAGGAACGAAGACGAACTTCTTCCGAATTGGCTATGAATTGTGGTCCTGACTCTTCCCACTTTTCTGGCACTGCCAAATCTTTATCTGTGTATATCAGCAAGTCAAAGGCACCTGTAAGCAAGCGGGAATAAATGAACAGCAATGTATGCATAAGAGGGTGTGTTTGAAGTTAAAACGCATCTTCTAGAACTTCAGATGTACTGAGGTTCTCAGAAATCACACTGATACTAGTTACCTGAAAAGAAATAGTTAAAACATGAAAAGAAGTCCTGGTTCTGTTCACATGTAGCCTTTTTAGTTTTCTCAAGCGACTGTGATGTAATTTTATTTTTTAACGTTAAAATACTGTGGAGCTGAGCTTGATCTAACACTTCATACGAACTCATGTTATTTATACGAGCCTGTCCACAGCTACAGTCACAAAATAATTTATTTATGAAAACTTAGATTCCCCAGAGTACACAGACATTACACTTCTTCAAGTTAGTTAAGCCACCCTGAATCCTGTCCTGATCTCAGTCTAACAAAATGCTGTCTCATAAATGTGACAGTACATGAGATGTAATAATTAAAAAGCCTCAGAAAATACTTTCTAAAATGGAAAAGAAGCGTTTGATTTTCATTAGTGAAGTTAGGAATACTCACAGGCAGTTTCCAACAGTGGCAGAAAAGTTACTGTGGCAGTTATTTGTCTGATAACAGATCGAATTTCATCCTGAATAGCTTTCTGAGATTTTTCTCGTGGTGCACTGGAAAAAACAGGAAAACTCTGTTAAGCAAGCAAGCCACTACTATACCAACAGCTTTCTTTAAATACAGTTCTGTTAGTCTGTTCGCTATAGGATTTTTTTATGGTAGTGACACTCTTTTAAGCCCTAAGTAGATAGGCTTAGAAAAACTAAGTGGTTTCCCTTTATTGTTTGAGAAGCTTCACGGTATGTATAAGGAATGTTATGTTTATTCTGAGTCCAGAATGGATGAGAACATTTTGGCGTAAGAATAGGAAAGCAGTAGTTCTTTAGGGCATGTACCCGATTTTATGTACTTTGTTGCAGATTAAAAATCAAGTTTTGATCTGATGCTTTAAAACAAACAAACAAACAAAAAAAAAATCAACACCCGAGGATTACATATGCTTCAATCATATAATGTCTGGTCTATAAACAAACAGAAGGAATAGCAGTTAGGAAAGTTGTAGGTTTGGTAAGGTTTGAAGGAACATCTTCCCTGCTCATAGAGAAAAAAAGGCTACCTCAGCTGCTCGGAGGAACCAGAGCAGTGCTGGTGCAGATGGCACAGCTGCTAGGGGCAGGGAAGAGCAGGCACAGAGGGACGCTGTCGCTCACCTCTCATCCTTTGCGGTTTTGTCGCACTCTATGTCAAACTGCCACCGCTCCAGAACCTCACTGTTTTCGATACTGGAGATGACCACCACCAGGCGCTGCACGATGCACTTGTACAGCCACTCTGGAAGAAGCCACAGCGGTCGCTTGCAGCGCGAGAAGAGCCAGAAGCATCAGCAGAGCCACGGCGGGGCGGGCACA